TAGGGTATATTCAACTTTATATTTGGGTAAACACATTAAGCAAATATCTACATAGCGTTTAAAGAAAGTTGGTTCATAATTTAGGCTTGAATTTGGTCTCTTTCAAGCTTTCCATAACAAGGTTTGCAATTGTTGCTGATATGGGGGAACCCATTGCTACACCGTATATTTGTGAATAATATTTGTCTTCAAACTTGAAATATGTAGATTTTAGGCATTTTAGAGGATTTTAGTTCTACCGCTTCAATAAATTCTTTTTCTTGATTTGTTGAATGTTGTTCGATTTCCTTCCATTTATTTCTTATACATTCGATTGCATATTCAATTGGGATATTGGTATATAATCATGTTACATCAAGCGATACTAAACAGTGATTTTGTGGTATTTTTTGGTTTTTGATAAATTCACAGAAATCTCAAGAATCTTTAATATGACATTCTGATTATCCTAAGACATTTCCTAGAATTGTGGAGAGGAACTTTGATAAGTTGTAAGTTGGTGTACCTTTATTGTTGACGATTGGTCGTAATGGTATGTTGTTTTTATGAAGTTTTGGGGGTCCGCATATTACTGGTGCTTGGCCGTTACTGCAGTACAGTGTTCATTTAGTTTCTTCAGTTACGTAGTTCTGTTTAAAAAAAATATTATTATTTTATATACCAAAAATTTTCCATAAGAAGGTTTGCAATTGTTGCTGATATGGGGGAACCCATTGTGACACCGTATATTCGTGAATAATAGTTTTCTTCAAACTTGAAATATGTAGATTTTAGGCATAGTTCTACCGCTTCAATAAATTTCTGTCGGGTTCTGTTCATTTGTAACCTGTTAAATGTACGGTTATTTTAAACTATTTAAACGTGTATTCGGCAGTTGAAAAGTCCAAACGCCTACTGGCGGCTAAATCATAACTACACTTTAACTAGTAAAACTTGACAGTTATTTTCATTTGATGTCATTGTGATTTGTTTTGTTTAGTCCTACTCTTACAAGATTTTAAACAAATAGAAATACGTTGAAAAGTGTGTCGGTATTGTTCTATATTATAGACTTAAAAAAACCAAGGTTAAAATAGGGGATGTCAGGACGGTATTACCAATGTACTCGTGCTTTTTGCTGTTAACAATGACGAGTAATGCTACGTTTCGCAGCGCCCCTATCGGTAGTTGAACTAGCGAAGATTTGAGATGTATATTTTTGTTTGTATGGCAGCCCTGACAGGGCGCTGATGGAAACCCTGTTTCAAACGACTTTTTGCAACAATACTGTCAAACCAAGTGCGCCTGAGAATTCGTTAATTTTATAATCATTTCCTCAAAGAATTAAAATTTAAAACAATCTCGACTTCCTGCTTGCTCTGTGATCTGTGGTGCTCATCTATAGTGAGGAACATTTTTTGCGACTTAGAGACATGAGGGTTGGTTGGATTTGGAGTTGGAGTGCATCACCACAACGGGCTTCGTTTTTGGTTTTTACTTAATAGGGTTTTTTCACTCTTTTTTTTTAATATTGATATATAGAAAGTAAATTTTAAAGCGAATTTAAATTCAAATCGGATATTTTCCATGTTTATTTTGTTGTTTTCGCAGCTTTGTTTTATTATTTAAGTTATTGTGATTATTATTATTATCTTGCATAATGGAAAATAGTGACATATGGATCACAAAATAAGTGGAAGTGTTTTGTGCCAGGATGCAAGAATACCTCAATAAGTGCTCCAAACGAACTCTCTAACCGTTCCCCGTGATTATGCATGTAAAGTTTTATGGTTCAAAGCAGCTAGATGTGATGTTCCTAAATCAAAATCAATGTTTTTTTTTGTTGCGAGAATGATTTTAATGAAAGTACGAACAAAAAGCTAATGATGAGGCAGATAGATAGAATATGCCTTCGATACGTACTCGTACTCTGTGTTGTGGGCAAATTCTACCTAGTACAGTGCACAAAGAACCCTCGCGTTTCAATTCCACATGTCCGATATCACCATATTGTTCTCTTGATGCCTAAAATACAAATTTAAGAGTTCATTTTACTTTTAAAGCAGCCATGTGTATAGGTTAGGTTAAGTTGAATAAGTGCAATTCTATATATTATTTACCTAATACAGACAGATTAGTATATTAAGGAGAGAATAACTAATAATAAATTTTCGGATTTTTACTTACGCTGCTGCTTTGACACCCTTAAATTCGGCTGAATTAAAGCGTTAGTCGTTTTTTTTTTAAATCGGTAACCATAAAAATATGTACACATGGTAAATTGTTTGTTGTCGCTTTAAGGAATCCTTTTGAAACCATTTTTTAGTTTAACACAAACTATAAATTATTTAAATCCACAAAATTATTAATGAAACACAACCACACACCTACCACTAGGCACAGAACGTAAACAATCCGCCATTTATATGACCAAGGACGTCACAACCAATAAGATTGCGTTTTAGAGATTCATGAATAATTTGAATTTTAGCTGAATTTGTTTATTAAATATTTAACAATATAGCAATAGACGGATAGCATAAACTTATTTGATCTTTTTTATATATATATTGCCATAGATTAATGTTCAGTTTGTAGGAATTTTCGATACAATGATAACACCCTATTCCGCTTAAAGATTCTACAGTGGAGAATTGTAGGTAAGTGATCCAGAACATTAGCTCTATTTAGTTGCATGGCTAACTCTGCGAGAGCCGAGAGATAAAATCTTGATTTGCGTGCTTTGTTCGCAAAGAACTGGTCGTGGTGATTGATTCTTGCTGGCTGAGGTCTTTTAAAACGAAGAGAAATGTATACCGTCGGATTTATCTGGTCTCAAAGTGACTAGCTGATCGCAAACTAATTAAACTTGAGTTTAAAAACAATTTTAAACAAACTGCTTTAATTTAAAACAATGCAACTTGACTTATTGGTGAACGAATTTGAATAGTAAATCGAGTGAAAACTAGTCATTATCGGGAAGACGCCAGCCAGGTACCAACATTCAAATAAATGTTCCTATTTTTACTCCGAATAATTAAAGAAGAGTTTTTGATTCCAGAGAAATTTGGTGAAGTGGTCTGGAGTCTGGAGTAAGCGAAATACTTTAATTCGTCAAGATTTTAAAATATTTTTGACAACGAATAAATATTTTAATTAAAGGATAAATGAAGGATAGCGAAACGAATAAAAAATTATCTGAGCAGGAAAGTCAAACAAAACTCGAATAGCTTTAGATTGGTTGGATATAAGGTGAACTTTCCCCGATAAATTGTTTGATCCAGCCAAAACTCTACAATACGGTATAAGTTAAAGAGTCATGTGAAAAGAAATAATCATTGATACCAAAGCAATTTATTTAGTTGTGCAATCACAAATAAATAGAACACGCGTTTTAAAACTACATAATCAATGATAGGTAAGTTTAATTACTTTAAAACAGATTTCTGATTCATTTGTTTGAATTATTTTCTACATTTGCGATAATGGTATGTATGTATTGTATATATATCAATCACTTGATGTAAACCCTTATAAAAATATATCCGTGAATTTTTGTGGTGGCCTCAGTGAATACTTTTTTACTGTTTGATAGAAAAGTTCTCCGATGATAAATTCCTGTAAATAGTGTATTTCAGTTCTAAGCACTGATGCGATGAATCGATTGCCTTCATCAATTACATTCTTGATTTGCAAATTTGTTAGTTCTTTGCATCGGAATCCATCACAAATTCCAAACATAAGAATAACCTGAAAGACAACGTTAAAGTATTTCATATTATCGGAGCTAGAAACATCAAAGTTATTAAAATAATTTAAATAATTACCTTTGAAGGTAAATAAACTTTTACGGCGCTTCCTTAAATTTATAAATTTTTCGATGTCACTCCATCTCAAAGTAAAGTGATTGCTTTGGTTTATAACCTTTGCTTTTATTTTTCAGCAATAAGGCTTTAAAGTTTAAAAATCCACTAACATCTACCTTCTTTTTAGTACTTAAAGTCTTTCTTAACATAGACCACATGCCACAAAGATTTGACGGCTTTTTCAGTTTGGTAAAATACAGCAATACATTTTTTTCTGAGCTTGAAAATTAATTTATTACAATTCTATATGATAATTATAATAATTGAATAGATCTATTCAATTATAAGACTTGCTTTTTGGTCAAATTTTCTACATACTTCTTTCTCAGCTTCATCAAGCAAAGACATTTTTTTTGAGGCGTACGGCGTTTACTCTTGCTGAGTTAGAAAACAGTGTAAATATTCAGCTTTGTAGGCTCATTGAACTAATAGTCAAATTGTTACTTTTGCTAGGAAAAGTGCTGATCAGCCGAATTTGGTGGGAGTAATTGTCGATTTCGCTGTAGAAACTGCATCTACATCAGTTTCCTTTTACCTAATGTGTCTATTCGCCATTTCGGATAAAATTTTTGCTTCAAGAATGCAAAGTTTTCTGGAGAAAGTTGTCCAATTAGTGGGAACAATTAATCAAAGAACTCCAAGATTTTCCAACTATCAATTGATGCATCAAGGGCGCATTAAAAAAATGCGTTTAAGGGCTTGCAGTTGCAATTCAGCGGCAATTTTCTTTAACTTAGTTGGAACAATTGTGCTTTAAAATTTTTAAACAAACGCCAGTTTTCATCTAACGCAAGTATGCTGCTAATAGTCGGTTCCAGGCCGCAGGA